TTTTTAGTAGTAGGAGAGGATTTTTTTCAAAAAAAGCTTAATTAATTTTCTTTAACAACACATTTTTGGAAAAGGCTTGATTTTAATCGAGTGTTTTCTTTTTCACTTTTTTTTTTACTTATAAATACAACCTCTGAACGTTTTAAAAAAAATCGGGAGAGTGATCATGATCAATGATCAAAAGATTTATACAATGCAATCAATTTTGTGAAATGAAAATTTTCCTTTTCTTTCGAAAATTTCCAGAGAGATATAGTATCGTTGTCCAATTCTTTCGTTAATTAGAGTCACGTGCCAAATCTGTATTTGATGTGTAACATGTAAAATTTTTAATCGCGACTTTACACGCACCCCATATCAAATATCCAGTATAATGTCAATCTTATATCTTTTACCCAAATTTGTTGGCATTGTAAGAACGAGTAACCAACCATAGAAAATTCCATTGAAAAGGGATAAAAAAATTACTCTATTGTACTGACTACGAGAAAAACCTCTTATGATCCCAGCCTGGCGCTTAACCTTTATTATACATAACCTTTCATTAACAATTTATTGACTTAATATATAATTTATCATGAATAAATGATATAATCGAAACTTGGTTATCACCCTCCCCACTAAACCAATGAATTCAATCCAAGGTTGTAACACGAACTGGGAGTTGAAAATCAATCCAAATTTGGAAACATACAGAATCAATAAAAAAAAAAAAACTAAATCAATTTAAATTAAACAAATTAACATGGATACTAATTTGCAAAAAATCAATTCAGAAGTATTTCTAGATCTTAAAAATAGAGAGATAAAGTAAATCACTATTGAGTTCATAAAATAAAATATTTTCTTTATTATTAATTTTAATATAAATACATATATATTTAGAGTACCCATTAAAGGAAAACGTAACATTCTAGTTACTAGTGCTTTACCTTATGTAAATAATGTCCCACATTTAGGTAATATCATTGGAAGTGTTTTAAGTGCAGATATATTTGCTAGGTAAAGTTTTAATATTCTCAGTTTTTTATATAATAATGATGACATGTTGAAGTATTTATATACATTGTAAATATTAGGTATTCGCGTGCTCGCAATTATAATATACTTTATATCTGTGGTACAGATGAATATGGTACTGCTACAGAAACGAAAGCTTTAGAAGAGGGAATTTCTTGTCAGGAACTTTGTGACAAGTATAATGTAATACATAGTGATGTTTACAAATGGTTTGAAATTGACTTTGATTATTTTGGACGAACTACTACACATCATCAAACAAAGTATGTGTAATATTTTTGATCACTTCTTATAAAGAAAAATAATAATCTTTTAAATTTTATTATTGATAATATAGAATTTCTCAGGATATATTTTTAAAACTTCATAAAAATGATTATCTTACTAAAGATACTGTGATACAATTATTTTGCGAAGGATGTAAACGGTAAGACTTTTACTTATTTAAAAATAAATAAAATTTTTACATGTTAAAAACTCATCAACATTTATATTATATAGATTCCTTGCAGACCGTTTTGTTGAAGGGACTTGTCCAAATCCAAAATGCAAATATGAGGTGTGTCAATTGATTTAATTAATGTTTAAATTTAAAAAGGTTATATATATCATATCAAGACAACTTTTAAAGTTTACTAAAAAAAAGAAATAAATTATTATAGGATGCACGTGGTGACCAATGTGATTCCTGTGGTAAACTTTTGAATGCTATTGATCTTGTTAATCCAAGGTGTAAAACTGATGGAAGTAGACCAATCACAAAAGAATCAACTCATATGTTTTTGGATTTGGCTGCTTTACAAAAAGACATCGAATCTTGGGTGGAAAAGACTTCTATTGAAGGAAACTGGACTTTAAATGGTAAAACTATTACAAAATCTTGGCTAAAAGAAGGTTTGAGGCAACGTTGTATCACAAGAGATCTTAAATGGGGTACGCCAGTACCTCTTGAAGAAATGAAAGATAAAGTATTCTATGTATGGTTTGATGCTCCTATTGGGTAAACAATCATTTGATATTTTCAAAAAAAAATTGTAAAAGCTTTTTTTTTATTTAAAAATTTTTTAAAAAATTTTTTTGAAAAAAAAAAGATATCTTTCTATTACTGCAAACTATACTGAAGAGTGGGAAAAATGGTGGAAAAATCCCGAAGAGGTTAAATTATATCAATTCATGGGCAAAGACAATGTTCCATTTCACACAGTTATTTTTCCTGGCTCTTTACTTGGAACAAAAGATAAATGGACATTATTACATCATATAAATACTACTGGTAAGTAAAAGGAAAATTATTAATTTAATTACTAGTTAATTAACGCCTTTATACTAATCGATTATTATTAAACAAATAGAGTATCTTAATTATGAAAATACCAAATTTTCTAAATCACGTAATGTTGGTGTTTTTGGAACTGATGCAAAAGATACCGGAATTCCTGTTTCAGTATGGCGATATTATTTAATTATGATTCGCCCAGAAACAAGTGATTCCATGTTCACTTGGAAAGAATTCATTTCCAAAAATAATACTGAACTGCTTGCAAATTTGGGTAATTTTGTCAACCGTGTTATTAAATTTAGTAACTCGAAATATACTGGTGTGATTCCATCTTATACTGTGGATTCAGAGGCTGAACAAGAATTTATTAAAAATATTAATTTATCACTAACGAGTTATGTTGAGTCACTTGAAGCTGTTAAGTTACGAGCTGGTTTGGAGATTGCAATGGATATCTCTCGTCAAGGAAATGGATTTCTACAAGATTCTAAATTTGATAATACACTTTTCAAAGAACATCCAAATAAGTGTGCATCAGTGATTGGTTTAGCTGTAAATTTAATCTACCTTTTATCTGCTTTATTTTACCCATATATGCCATCAACCAGTGAATCAATTCTGCGTCAATTAAATGCTCCCACAAGAATTATACCTGACACATGGACTGGAACTGATATTCAACCGGGTCATAAATTAGGAAAGGCTGAATATCTTTTCAAAAAAATTGATGAGATAAAAGAGCAAGAATTTCATTTAAAATATGGTGGTGGTTCTAATAACAAGAGTTAATTACAATAACTATAATCATAATAACTAATAATAATAATAATAATAATAATAATAATAATAATAATAATAATAATAATAATAATAGTTTCATCTGAAAAAAAAAAATCAATTGTTCTATAAAATTCATATTATGTAAATTATTTTTTATTATATAAAGTCCAATCAATCCGATATATTTATTATATTTATTATCATCTAACAATAATAATTAGTAAATGAAGAAAATATAACACTAGGACCCCTGAATATACTAATTAGAACCTTCGTACAGATTGAAAATTTCTTCAAAGCAAGTACCAACCAACGGTATACCCGGTATACTCGCCGATCATCAGAATTTTTTTTTTTTAAAAAAATGTCATTTTTACAATTTGTAAGTAAGAGAAGAATAGATCAAATATTTCTTTATAAACACCTTCAAACATCGCAAGTATTAATTACAATTGGTAGAGCATTACAGGTATTTTTAAAAGTCATCTTTCAACATTCTCCCTTGTACACTGAAACAAAAGACACATAATAATAATTGTGCAAATTTTCAAAAAGGATGTAATAATGTAAATAAATTAATAAAAAATATTTTATTTAATTATTTTATTCAATTTTTCACAAATAAAAAAACCATTACAATACAATGTGCATTGATAAAAAAAAAATTACATGTACATATTAAATTAGAATAAAGCACTTGATCAAATACAAGATGAAAGGTTAAGGCCACATACACTGCGTAAAGATCATTGGTTGCCAGTTGTAGCAGTATCAGGATTTTCTAGTTACTCTTCAATGATCACAACATTCAACAAATTACTATACAATCTTCAAGAAGCTGCCAAGAAGAAATCAAAGAAAAAAATTATGTTGAATAATATCAATATAGCAGCAGAATTAAATAATGAAAAGAAAATTGGAGAAAAAACAAAAGCATATCAAAAAATACTCAGCAGAATAGATAAAAAAGAGGAGCAATTTAATGCTGCCAGTGGTGTTCTTGATAACAGCGTTGTTAATTTATGTTCAATCCTTAAAGATTTATCAAAAAATCGATTAGAGGTGGAAGGAGAAAGTAAGATCAAGATATATTGGGAGAGGACAAACATGAGTGAATTGCCTAATTTAGTGAAAGGATTGCAATGGCCAAATTGGGTAGAACATTATCAATTGTTGTTGAATAGAAGTAGACATTTGAAAAATAAAGAATTCAAGTTGAGAAAGTTTCCTAAGGCATTGAAAAGGAAAAAGAAAAATTTAAAGGAGTATTTTAAAAACAATGCAGCACAAATTCTGAAAGAAGAGGAGGAAAAGAAGGCTAGAGAGAAAAAGAAGGCGGCTAGAGAAGAAAGATGGAAAAGATTCAAGGAGGAAAAGAGAATGTAATTTAAACAAGCAGCGTTGATGAGAATGAGGATGAAAATGAAATTTAAAGTTTTTTTATGTTAATAATATAATAATTAAAAAATGTTTAATAAATGTATTAATACAAAGAAATGTTAAATGGTGATATTTTTTTGTCCTTGTTATAAATATGCAACTAATTATTATTATAAATTTAAATTTACATCTATATAAATATTTTCTTAAATTTTAGAGTTTCTTTCATCAAAGCATCATTTCAAATCTATCAGTTTTGAATTTAATGATTGAATCTCGTTTTTAACCAGATAGTAATAACAGTGAGTTGATAATCGAATTCTATGGTTAATGATAATATTGCTATTATTACTGTCACTACTATTGTTATTAATACTATTATTATCTTTTATTGTTACCAATAATAGATCAGTGTTTATTTAGTAATGATGCTGATGACCTGACCATTTACAACCAAATTGAATGTGAACCTTTTCTGGACGTTCTTTAATATTTTGTGTAAAATTTTAATATGGCTATGACAAGAAAGAAGTTAACTTGAAATGTTTCCTTAAAAAACTTTTGAAAAAAAGGCAGTTCCAAAACAATTGAAGGATATCTTGAAATCTCTGCCATTACCAATTGCTCAAAACTTTAAATTCGTGAAACTGCTAATAAACCTTCAACTTAGCATAACTGTGGCGGGATTAATAATTAATTGATAGTAATCGTTTTTTTTTTTTTTTGTAGACATTTAAAATGACAAAATGTCGTCCCATTTTAATTGTAAATCTTTTGTTTCAGTAGGTGAAATGAAGCCAGATTCATATTGATTTACTACCTATTGAAGTCTTTGAAGCATTGTAATTGTAGTAAATTATAATTTATTATCATCATAATTATCAACTCTATTATTATTATTATTACTATTATTATTATTATATTGAAAGATAATATAACAGTTAATTTATAATGAACAAGTATAAGGATTGTTCGTTGTTTAAAAGAAAATTTATTAGATCATCAAATAACATATTAATCTTTTTGTAAAATTTTTATATATCCATGAAGCATTTTTATATAAGTGCCTAATTTCTTACCAGTCAAGTATGAATATTCGCCGTGCTGTTGCAGTAGTTCAGCAATGGTTCTTTTTTCTGAGTAGTTAGATAAATTATAGCCTGCTTTTGTGCTATTTTATTAACGGTGGCTAGTCTTCTCCATGCTTGGTCTTTTCTTTTGGTTTTTTCCTGCTTGTTTTTTCAGTAAAGAAGTTGAGAATGGTTATTGTTGATTCTAGTATTTAGTGATACATGTAAAATCCTAGATGAAGTATTTGATTAGAAATATCTATATTATTGCCATATAATCTTTTCAAAGTAATAGCTTTATAGATACAATATTGACCAGGAAAATCAGCCGGAACTGCAATTACATTCTCATTTAAAGTTCTGGCAACTCAACAAATGGTGTTATGGATTCAATAAGTTTTACAATATCTATTTTCTTATTTTCACGTAGATTATTAACTTTGCAACCTTTATTAAATTGATCAATATAAAATAAAAAAATTGTTGATAATAAATTGTCAGATAACCTGGTTTTGGGAGACTCTAAATTTTTTGTTTTTCTTTAATTGCTATTTTTATAAATAGAAGTAATACCTATGTTTGCCAAAGTATCTAATCCTGATAATTCATTAATCATACATGAAGCTTTATTTTTTACCAAGCTAAATTGTTTATTTCTTAAACTTTCTAGTTGATGACATAACATATTGAAAAACCCATCAAGGTCTGGATCCTTTTCTTTAAGCATTTCTTCAAAGAAATCAGGATCATATATTAGCTTCTTTATCCTTTATGTTGATAATTATAAAGAACTGTAGTAAGTCTTTTAATTTGAAAATTAAAATTCAATATCTACAATACAATAAAAAAAATTATGGATTAATATTAAACAAAAAAAAAATTATTGTAAATTGTAACGGAAAACTAAAATGGTAATTGATAAAAAAGTTGCGGTAGTAAAATCTTCAAATTATGCAGATGTTCATGGATTACCAAGTCCAGGAAGAAGTGTCAATAGAATATAACCTAATCACTTGTATTTTTACCAGCAGAAATGGGTTGTAAATCAGTTCATGGAGATTTTCTTGGTGGTCTGGAAGATGATAGCATTCTCAAATTTCTCAAATTACAAGTCCCAGAACTAGGTTCGCTCTCAGCTTCCCATTCCATTTTACCACCTTTTTCAAGAGCCCATACATCTACACAAACTATTAACACCAGTTAATATATGCTGGACAACACTTCTTCACACACTCTCAATATCAAGAAGATCCAACAGAGTCTCTCCTCAGGGAGATTTAACAAAGTAGTTGGTTGACACGAATATTCAAATGTTCTGATATCCGAATAAAACTAATGTTATTAGTACAATGGCGATGTTAAATCATTTGATCCCTGTAATTTCTTTGCAGCATGATTATAATCTTCACTTTGTCTGGTTTTGCCCCAAATCCTAATTTTTGCGCATAGAGTAATAAGTTTTACATTGATATTCAAGAGTTAGCTGAGTTAAACGAAGAAAAATGCAAAATGCAAGTTGGAGCCCAAGAATTAGAAAACCAAGTTCAATACCAGAACGATTGAGTCAAGGCCAAAGTAAAGGAAGTATACTTTTGTTTATTTATTGTTGTTTTTTGATTTCAATGCATGGTTTCTATTCGTAATGCAAACTCGAATTATTCGAATTATTCGTTTTTATTCAAATTATTCGCTTCATTTGCTTTTATTCAAATTACTATTATTTGCTTTATTTGCTTTATTCGCTTTAATCGCTTTGCTTTATTTGCTTTATTCACTTTATTAGTTTTATTTGTTTCATTTTGATAATATTCATTCATTCAATTCGAATCTCAATTTCGATTTGGATTTCGAAAGTTTAAGATTGATGCAAAAGAAACAAAACAACACATTAAAATGATTCTATCCGAACCTCCCGTTTTGCCAATAATTCAACAAATGATCTAACGACGCGTGAGTTAAATAAGTAACCATACTTTAACTTTGCCCTGACTATAATGATGCTCATTGCTATTTTTGTCTATTTATTTTTTTAAAAAAAGTTAGTACAGTCAGACCTCCATAAATGCATGCTATGTCTTGGTCCCGACCTCAGGACTTGGTGATAAATGTACACCCTCCCTGCACGGTATTTTTTCAGTCCCAACTCCCTCCATAAATGCACCCCACGTGACTAATGTATAAAATTCATTGTGTAACTATTATAAATTTACAAATCATCGGCAAATTTTTTAATTTGATTGGATAATTTCCAATATGTAATGCAATCCAATTTCATGAATAATATCTCTGAAGAAAATATTGTCTGAGAGGTTCCAGATGATGATAAAATAATCAAAGAACTTGCAGAAATATATAAAAATAAAATGAATGTACCTGCTGACAAATTTGAGAAGATGGCATTAACCCTTGAGGAAGCATTAAAGGTCTTGAAACTGTACATTCATTTTTATTACAGCAAGAAAAATAATGCCACAAGCAAATAAAATTGGTTAATAAAATTGAAAGATATATCAATATAAAAAAAGTAAATTCATCAAAACGATCTACAATGGATAGTTA